AACAGGCATTAATAGCCTCACTTTACAGATGAAGAAATTAGGGTTAAATGATGAGCTACATAGCTAGTTAGCAGGATAAATGGGAAGCTTAAGGTGTTCTTATTCAATCATGCTTTCATATACGGATCATATATGATATTACTCATGTGCTTGCATGCATGGATCCCTGTGAACTCTGAGTGTGTATATATTTTGTGTGTGCACTTGGGTAGGAATGATGCTATAGGTATTTTTATTCATTTATAGTTTTCTCCCATGCTCTGCAGTGGATTGAGGATTAGGAGACCTGCCTTCTAATTCTGACTACCCCAGTGACACTTAACCTGTCTGAGTTTCAGTTTCCTCATTTGTAAACTTGGCATAATAACACTAGCCCTGCCTATGTTGTTTGGTCCTCATAATAACCCTGTGGGGTAGGCAGAGAAGCTCATAGCCATTTTACAGGGAAGGAAACTGAGGCACAGAAAATTTAAGTGACTTAAGTCCCTTAAAAAGACCCAACAGTAAGTACCAGAGTTAGAACAAGAACTTGACAGCCATTTGATTCCTGTTCTAGTTAGGCAACAACAGTTCCTGTGAAAAAGATCTGGGGGTCTCAGTGGACTCCAAGCTAAATATGAGTCAAAAAGTATGATATGCTAGTCAAAAAAGCTAATGCTGTCCTGGGTTTGAAAAGTTTCGTGGTGTGATGGAAAGAGTATTGGATATGGTGGGTTAGGGTTAGGGTTAGCATTAAGGAAGGAAAGAAACAAGTAAGCAAATTTTGTATTAAGTACCTACTAGTGCCAGGTGCTCAGTTAAGTATTTTACAAATATTATCAATACTAAACAATCCTGGGAGGTAAGAGCCAGTATTATCTCCATTTTATACTTGAGGAAACTGAGGGACACAGAGGTTAAATGATTTGCCTATGGCCACAAAGCTTGTAAGCATCTGAGGCTGGATTTGAACTCAATCAATTGACCTATTATGTGCTAGGCACTGGGCTAAAGTCTTCCTGACTTGAAGCTTAGCACTCAATCCACTGGGCTGCCTGTCACTTGGTTAGAGTGTGATCTCTGTCCTGTACTTATCCCCTCCCCCTCCCAAACCTTACAACCTATTAACCCTGTATACTCAAACAGGAGTCCTCAGGTGGGGTTTTGGGTAACTTGTTTATCTCAAGGCCAACTGGCTCCTGGGGCTCTCCTGAGTCCCAGTTGGGTGGGAAGATAGCTCCTGATGTCAGTGGGGCAGTTCCCAGGGCACAGAGCAGAGAGGCTGTCAGAACCTGAAAGAAGAGTATCTATGTATCTTCTGCCCACCCTGGAGGTAGAGGAGGATTGTAAAAGATCCAGCTGGGGACAGCAAAGAGAAAAAGCTCGAGTCTAGCTAAGACTATCCCAGCCTGTAAAGGCTCACCTTCCACTAATGGCTCTGGGTTGTGTCATCTGGGGTCAAGCAGAACAAACTTAAATGTTTTTCTAGGTGATAGCTCTTCTAATACTTGAAGATCATACAGTCAAGTTTCCTCTAAGGTTGTGCCAGGCTAAAAACCCCCTGTTCTCTCAGCAGATCCTTCTATAGCATTTCAATCTCTTTACTATCTTGGTCTACTTCCTTTGGATATGCTTCTGCTTGCCAACATCATTCCTAAAATGTGGTATCTATCTCAGTTATGGGTATAGTGGGACTATTATTTTTTTGCTTTTGGGTATTTTGCTTCTCTTAATGTAGCCTACTACATCCTACTAATGATTACTCACATTTATATTCAAGCCTTTTAAGGTTTGCAGAGTACTTTCCTTATAAAATCTTCCCTTGGTAATACAAGGATTATTATCCTCATCTTACAGATGAGAAAACCAAGGCCCAAAGAAGTGACTTGCCCAAGGTCATAATCAATCAATCAATCAATCAATATTTATTAAGTGCCTACTATATTCCATGTACTGGGCTAAGCGCTGAGATTATTAAAAAAAACAGTCTTTGCCCTCAAGACACTTAAATCTAATGGGGAGAAAACATACAAACAAATATATATATATATATAAAACAAGCTATATGCAGAATAAATAGGAAGTGATTAACAGAGGGAAGACATTGAAATTAAAAGGGGTTGAAGAAGGCTTCCAGTGAAAGATCAGATTTTAGTTGGGACTTAAAGGAAGCCAGGGAAGTTGGTAGTCAGAATGGAGGAGGGAGAGCATTCCAGGTATGGGGGACAGTCAGAGAAAAAACCCAGAGATGTTCATGGTGCAGCCAGAAGGCCAATGTCACTAGATCAAAGAGTACATTGAGGAGTAAGGTGTAAGAAGACTTGAAAGGCAGGAGGGGGCTAGGTTATGCTAGTAAGTGATCAGTGGAGGAACTTTAAGCAGGTCTTCTACCTTCATATTCAATACTCCTTCCATCACACCATGAAACTTTTCAAGCCCAGGATAGCATTAGCTTTTTTGGCTAGCATGTCATATTTTTTGACTCATATTTAGCTTGCAGTCCACTGAAACCCCCAGATCTTTTTCATAGGAACTGTTGTTGTGTAGCCATGTCTTCTCCATCTTGTACTTGTCTACTTGATGACTTTAAGTCAGTTCAAAAGTCACTTATTAAGCACCCGTGATGTGGCCAGATAATGTTGGTGTCTTCACGTAAGGGGAGAATTTTACATGGACCTTTATTCATTTTCATTCAGATTTGGTCCATATTTCTGACATGTCTTATTCAGGATGCCAATGCTGCTGACCAGCATGTTAGCTATCCTACTCAGCTTTTGCTCATTTGGTAATTTGACACGCACACTATCTATACTTTCATGTAACTCACCAATCAAGGTGTTGAATACTGCCTTAGTTTCTTCATATGAAATGAAGAGAGAGAGAGAGAGAGAGAGAGAGAGATAGTCTTAAGACATTCCTTGTGTGTCTAGGGCAGCCCCAGAGTCAATAAGGAATTTTTTTCAGATTCTCCAGTCAATATATGTCATCAAAACAATAAGAAATATTCAGGCTAGGATCAATTGTTGAGAAGGGGGAAGAACGATTAAAGAATATATCTGAAATGTAGGGTCTTTGAGGGCAGGAATGGGTTTTCATTTTGTCATTATATCTCTAACCTAGCCTGGTGTACTTAATATATGCTTGTCAAGTTGAATTCAACAGGGCCAAGGATGGATCCCTGGGGTATTGTACTAGAAGGTATCTACCTTCTTCTAGGCCCATTGCCATGGATCTAGCTTTTCATTTTAGATCAGTAAGCATTTAGTACATAAAAGGCATTCTTCCAGGTGCTAGATACAAGGCCAGAGAATTCTGGAATTTCCAACATTTCATTCACACAAATTGCTTGCAGTCACCGATATCATTGAAATTCTGTCCATCTTTTAAAGTCCGATTTAGCTACCTCCTTTTTCTATGAACCCTCCTTCTATGTTCACTACAGCCAAAAGTGAGCTCTCTCTCTCCCTTCTAACTACCATACTATTGGCTGTATCTCTTTCTTATTGTCCTAATCTTACGCAGCCTTATTTTGCATCATCATCTCTCTGGCTAGATTATAAGCTCCTTTAGGGCAGGAACCACAGCATGTTAAGTTTAATCACTTACATTTTTATTTAAAGTTTGCAAAGATTTTGCTTCCACAACCCAAAGCCAAAATTCCAAATCCACTGGTCCCTTCCTCTTTTCGAAAGAGGCTAAGGGAATCATTACAGTGAGTTTTCTTCTCATAGTGGTTTCAGAAAGAAGCACCTCTCTGAAGGTCAAACGCTTCATCTTCTGGTCTGTTTTGGATATCCCTATTTTACAAAAAAAAAAAAAAAAAAAAGGCAACTGATGCTCCAAGAGGTTTTGACTCACAGGGAGGTAAATGAAACAAGGCAGAGGACAGGAAGCAACACTTGAATCCAGATCTCAGGACATCAAGTTCAATGTTCTGCTACTAACCTTAGCACAGTGTTTTCTTCACTTGAGCTACTTAATGTCTATTGAATGAATAACTGGCCAGCAGTCTTTATTGTCCCTCTAGAAACACATGGTTTTTTGCACTCCTTTTCCCACCATTGACCGGCTTTCTCCTTAGTGTCACCGTCTTTCTTAAAAGCTAGCAGAGTCTGATGAAGCAAGACAGCTAATATAGTGATTTGGGGGTAGAAAACCTGGGTTTGCATCCTGGCTCTGATATTTACTACTAGTGTGATCTTGCTCAAGTCACTTACTCCCCTCCACTGGGTCCCAGTTTCCTCTGTTATAAAATAAAGGGGTTGGATGAGATGACTTCTAAGGTCACTTCCAGCTCCAATCCCTATGGTTCTCAGCATCTTCTTCTTGTTCCCTCTTTATCGCATCCAGTTATGACCCTGAGTCACAAAGCCGAAGAATGTTAGAGCTGAAAGGGACCCCCTCTCTTATTCACACCAGCCAGAGCTGTCCAGGGTCTCTCCCTTCCCGCAGCCATTGCTTCGGACGCCTTAATATGAATCACACAACTGAATGAATAGTAGCTTTTCGCCTTGAATTACTCGGAAGCTTCCCTTTCCCTTTATTTAGACCTGGCCTCCAAGAGAAGCCTTCTCTTTCAATTTTCTCTTGTTCTTCTCCCTCCCTAGCTTCTCCTGGCCGCTTCATTCCAACCCCAGTCTCGGATCCTTCCCTTTAAGGGTTCCCCCTCCCCTCCCCCACACCTTCCCTTCGCCCGTCCCAACCCCACCCCACCCCTCCCTTACATCCTACAAACCCTGCCCCCTCTGGCCCTCCCCTTTAAGGGCCGTCCCCAGCGAAGCCGAGGCTCTGACGCGGCCGCCGGGCCCCGGGGCTGGATACACTGTCGCGCCGAGCTTCCCCCGGGCCGGCCCCCAGCCGTCCCTGCGCGGCTTCCAGCAGCGCCAGGCCCCCCGGGGGGCAGGCGCGAGCCCTCACGCCCAGACGGACCGACAGACCGACCGACGGAAGCCTCCGACGGGCCGAGCCTGGAGCCGGGGCTGAGCTGGTCTGGGGAAGCCGGCTCTGCCGCCGCCGGGGAGCAAACTTCCCAGCCGGGCGGGGGCTGGCGGGGGCCCCGTCCAGGGCCGGAGGAGGAGACGGCCCCGAGTCCTCCTCCTCCCGCTCCTGCTCCCCGGTCTCCCGGCACCATGCTGTCTAACTCGCCGGGCCAGACCCCGCCCGTGCTGTTCCCCAACCCTCCGCCGCCACCCCCGCCCCAGCAGCCCCAGCCCCCCTCCCAGCCCCAGCTCCCGGTGCTGCCTCTGCCGCCGCCGCCTCCTCCGCCGCCGCCGCCGCCGCAGCAGCCGCAGCCGCCGCCGCCCCCCCAGCCTCCCCAGCAGTTCCCCCAGTTCTATGTCAAGTCGAGCCTGCAGATCAAGAAGAATGCCATCACGGATGACTACAAGGTCACCAGCCAGGTCCTGGGGCTTGGCATCAACGGGAAAGTTTTGCAGATCTTCAACAAGAAGACTGGGGAGAAATTCGCCCTCAAAGTAAGTTTGGGGCCCGGGAGGAGGAGAAGGGGACTCCAGGGGGCGACTGCCACCTTACGGGGGGGAGCCAGGAACTGCTTAAAAAGATCTACCTGACCCTCCCTTCTCCCCCTGCTCCTCCGTGGAAGCCCCCAGGGTAGGGAGGGGGAGGGGTAGAGAGGGTGCTGGGGGGAGAAGGAAGAGGAGGAGGTGCTGTTGTCTGAGTTATTGTTGGTAGTTATTATTGAGTGCGTGACTTTGGGGGAGGGGAAGGTCAGAGCAGATTTTTGGTGTCCCTGTGATCGCGGGACAGTTTCCGGTCACCTTAGGGAGTTAGTGTAGTGAACTCCAAAGACACTGGGGAGGACTATACCATTTTGGGGTTTGAGCGGGATTCATTTGAATCTCCATAGTCAGGTCCTGGATCGCTTCTACTTTAACACCCGTAGTTGATCTCAAGGAAGTGATTTTAAAGGGTTGTGGTTCCCCATCTCTCCTCTCTTTGCCTCTCCCTATCTCTTTCCTTTCCTTCCTCTTCCTCCCCCCTCCCCTCCCCTTGCCTCCCTCTCTCTGCCGGCACAAAAGGCCCATTACTCATTGAGCTGGTTGGTTGGTTGGTTTGGAGAAGTCGGATCGTAGAGGTTTATTTTGCCTCTTTCCTTATTTGGGAGCCGGAATGTGTGATTTCACTTCCCTTGCCCTCTAGAGTAAAAGTCTTCTGTCTTCTACTTAAAATGCATTGGCCCGAAGAAGTGCCAGACCGGAGATTCCGGAGGGGGAACCCCGCCTTAGACCCATGGGTGGGGGAGGGTGATTTGTTTTGGCTATTTGTTTTCTCTTTCTCAGTGTCTACCCTCAACCCCCATACCACTCCAAAGAGGGAGGCTTTGATACTGAATCTGCTATTTTCGTAGTTCCATTGATCAAAATTATTATGTACACCTTGACTTGGCCTTTTTGAAGTTTTTAGTAAATCCCTGATGAGGTTCGTGGAGTGGAAACTCCTCCTGAAACCCTAGAGACGAGAGATTTGCTGTGTCCCTCCACTAGTTACTGCTTCAACTTTAGGAAGGAGGATAGAGGGACAGAAATCGGGAGGCACCAGAAAGCAACCCTGTGAGTCAAAGAGTTTGGCCTTGGAGATCCCACATTGGGAATTGCCTCAAATCTGAGCCAGGGACAGGTTAAGGGGAATCATCACAGTGAGTTTTTAAAACCATCATAGTGGTTTTAAAGTGAAGCATCTCTCTGAAGGTGAAACACTTCATCTTCGGGTCTGTTTTTGATAGCTATCTTGGTGATTGGAGGAGAGGGGAAAGTCCTAGTTTGTATGCAGGGACAGCTGTTCTGTGGTGGGAAAAGAGTCAACAGAAGACCTGAGTTTCGAATCCTAGCTTTGTCACTTCCTCAAGTAGTGATATTAAGCCTCAGTTTCCTCAGATGTAAAATAAATGTAGTATCTACAATACTCCCTCACCGAATTGTTGTAACAATCAGAGATAATAGATGTAAAACACTTTGTAAACTGTGAAGTGTTTCATGTCAGTTGTTAGTGTTAATATCCTTCCTTCCCAAAGTCGTTTTTTTTTTTTAAAGGTGCATAAATTCTAGTTTGAATAGCCATTATTCCTTCTCTGAGGGATGATGAATAAAAACATATATTGGCTGTAGATGATGTACTAACTAGCTCCAAAGATGAGTTTTTTTCCCCTTAAACTGGACAAATACCTTTCAGATTCTCTTTTGTAGTTCCATATTTCTCTAAATCTAAGCTGAAGGTATGTTCTGAGTTTTGAAGACTGTGAAGGGCAGTTTTCTCTAAGGGACTGAACATAAGCTTCCAATGACCTATTCTTTTTCAGATTGTCCTCTAAACCCCTTTTCTTTCTCAGTCCGTTATGGGGGAGGAGAAACTAGAGTTATGATCTTGTGGAAGAATGCAAAGTTTGACCAGAGTTAACTCACAGTGTTAAGTCTGGGACAAATTCTTCTTTCCAGGAGAGCTTGGTCATCAGCTGTTCAGGGATGTGAGTTATTTGCCTTTTCCCCAAGGAGTGAAAATACTGTATAATGATATCAGAACAGTAACCCTTATCATAAAAATAAAAGGCCTGGAGAGTTTATATAATTCACCAAAAGTGTTTGAAACATTTATTTATTTCTGTGTTGGGGGAGGGAGGTGAGTGGTGGTGGTTAGAGAAATGATTGAATTTCTCTTCTAATTATCAGGAAAGTAACTTTGCCTTTTAGACAATTTTTTTCCTTGTGGTCCTAAAGAGAGAATCTCCTAATATTTTAAATGACATTTTTAGCACAATAGGTTTTTATGAGCACAATTTATCCTTCTCTTCAGGTTAGAAGTGGGTGAGAGGAGTGAAGTCACTCTGTTTTGACAGACAGCCTGCTTCTAGATCTCATGAGTTGACTCAACTGTTAAATTGCACATTTCCCACACTTCATTGTGTAAAAACTTAATAACAGAGGAAGAAAGCCTGGGTGAGGCATCAGGAGAGTGGCAGCAATGTCAACAGCTACAGCATATCCAAATATTGGTTAAGACATAATTACAGGGGGAGGAGGGGAAAGGAGGAATCTTGTTCGAAGAATCGTGCTCTGGAAATATACATGAAAGAGCTTGACTTTTGATAAATCTCTTGTGCTGATTAGGGAAGTAATGTTTTGAAATAGTAGTCTTGTGTGTGAAGTTGGGGAGCTTGGAGACCAAAGTAATTGCCCTAGCTTGACTGGTAAGTTGGGAGAAAGCCTGGGGTGAGAGGAAGGGTTAGATTGGAGGCTTCCCAAACATTGCTTGGCTTGTTGAAGTGTATGTTTCGTGGGCAGAAATCGGTGATACGGATGGACCCCTTTGTGGCTGTGCCTGGTGATGGGAAATTAAGGTTGTTATGATGCTCTGAGCCTTGTCTGTGGTCTAGTGACCTCTCATTCCTGTTAAGTGATGGCTTAAAAAAATGACCAGCTTTGCTCCTTCCTTTCTAACTAACGTTTAAATGTGTTTTGGAGGGTATTGTGGTCTTACCTTGTCATATCCTCCTTGCTCTTAACTCCTCCCCCCTTCCTAATCAGTCTAGAGAAAGGCTCTTGGAACCTAGCAGGTCTGTGTTTGAATTCTGACTTTGGTTCTTCCTAACTGTGTGACCCTGAGTGAGTCACTTCAGTTTTCTTCATCTGGTAAATAAAGGGGTTGGACTAAGATGACTTCAGAGGTTCTTCCTAGCTCTAAATTCTTGATTTTATGACTATGGGCTATCGAAGGTCTGACTTTAGTCCTTAAACACATCTTTTACCCCCACCCTCAAAAGCAAATCTTTCAAACTTAAATACTGTTTTAGGGTTTGTAAATTGCTTTTCATGCAACTCCCTTGTGAACCAAGTAGAGGAAGTACTATATTTTGCTGACAAGAAAACTGAGGCTCAAAGAGATTGACCAGTCACCCAGACAGTAAGCCTTTGAGATGACATTAGGACTTTTCCCTATGTTGAAACTCCCACTCCTCCTCCCAGCTGTCATTGACTTTACTCTCCTTGACGCTCGGTCATTGCTGTGATGCTAAAGGGTATTTTCCACTGTTAAACCATGCTCCTCTTGAGCTTGACACACACTGTTCTCACCATAGGTGTTATTTTGAAATGTAGGTGAGGAACCCACAAGGCAAGAGTCTTGACTAGGTCATGGGAAATTGTCCAAAGTTTCTAAACCGGAATTCAGGGGATCATAGCTTTTCGAGCTGGAAGGAGCCTTAGAGGCCATTTATGGCCAACCTTTTGATTTTGCAGATGAGATTCAGGGAGGCAAGTGACTTGCCCAAGGTCATATAGGTAGTGAGCCTTGGAACTGGGATTTGAACCCAGGTAGGTTCTCAGACTCCGATTCCAACATTTCACTGCTTCCTTCTTGCTGCTACTTGAAAAGCTTTTCTGTTAGAAGCAATCTTAGAGATAGTTTTTTACTGTTTTAAAATTAAAATTTCTCTCAGTGGTGGGAGCCCATGTAAATTTCATTAAATATTTCATATTCTATCATTTTAAAACTGAAAGGGACCTTTAGTGATCATTTTGTCACAGGATCTATCTCTCCCCCCTCTTCCCCCCCCTTGGTTTTACAGATGAAAGGAATTGCTTTTTTGGGAAATGAAGTGACTTATTTGAAAGCATACTGCTAATTTGTGGCAAAATGATTAAAACCCAACTCTCCTGAACTCTTTTTTTTTCTGGTTGGTGATAATTCTAGTCCCAGCTAACATGTGCCGCGATTGGTTATATTCCCAGATGGGGTTCTTTGGTTTCTCAGCTGTACTCTCCTCTCCCTCCCCTCCCCCCAATTGTGTAGTAATTACTCTTGTATACTAGTTTGACACGCTTAATTAAAGCCAATCCTATTTTCACTGTTCTCTGATTAGTTGAAGCATGTTATTGCTTCATAAACTATAGGTTTCCAGAATGTTGTCATAACTTATCTCTGTTTGTCTTCCCATGGCATAGACTGGAGAAAACAAGAACTTGTGGTTTCTCTTCTTTTTCCATTGTTTCTGCAGCTACATTTTCATTTCTTCCTTTTCTTCTTTAGATTTTTATATGGAGATATATGGCATAATCTCTACCTTAATTTATACTCTCGTAGTAGTAAAATATCCAGTGGTAGTCATGGCATCATAGATTTGGAACTGAAAAGGACTTGATAGGTCACCCAGTCCAGTCATTTAGCAGTTGAAGAAACTGAGGCCCACTGAGGTGGTGACATGCCCAAGGTCACACAGTGAGTTAGCTGAGCAAGGACTAGAACCCTGGTTTCTTAACTTCAAGCCCAGTGCTCCTTTCACTATATCATATGTACATACATACATACATATTTACAAATATACACACTAGTAAATGATCATTGTTGAGAGTACGAAAGTAGATATATATAAAACGCTAAATAGTGTAATGTGGGGGTTACCATGGGTTGTTCGGAGAAGAGGGAGAATATCTAGGGCTAGTGTAGTTTGGAGAGGTAGGATTGA